GTCGTAGCAGCAGCAGCAGCGGCAGCAGCAGCAGCACCACCACCACCAGCAGCCGGATCAGCAGAACTAGTATTGCAGTAGCTCTACAGTAGTAGTAGTGGTCGTCTTTAAAATGACGCGGTGCGAATCCTTACCTGAACCCTAAACCCTAAACCATCTTTCGCCAAGCTTCCTCATAAGGCTCTGAGATGACATCAAACCATCCTCGGGGCTCAGAAGCTTTCTGGTTAAAGACTTGCAGCTTAAGGCGTGAGGCTTTTTAGGGCTTTGGTTTCAGATTTCAAAGGCTCACTGCTCAGGGCCTACCCTAAACCCTAAACCCTAAACCCTAAACCTTAAACCCTCAGCCCTAAACCCTAAACCCTAAACCCCAAACCCTAGTAGGATTTACGGAGATGGGGTCAGGGCTCAGCTTGCGTTGAACCTTGCAGGTGCAGGGCTCAAGGGCGCAAGCCTTCGTTGCCAAGACAAAGACCGGTGAAAACTAGGGCTTAGGGTTTAGGGTTTAGGGTTTAGGGTCTAGTAATGTAGGGACCTTACTAATTGGAATAAGGTTTTGGGCTCCTGTATAGCTTTCTTATAATCAGGAACCCTACAGAATATAATCGGTATTTTGCTTTGGCTTCTATACTACAGCCAACATCTCCCATGCAGGAATAAGGCCCACATCCACAACCTGAAGACCTAAACCTCTCCACACGTGGTTCGTACATGGACCTTGTCAGCAAAGACCCTCAGGTCAGTGTCGGGCAGGGAGCCGATATTTTGGGGGAGGTGCGCAGATTTAGCGTGTATGCTGATGCTTTTTTAGGGTTTAGGGTTTAGGGTTTAGGGTATAGGGTTTAGGGTTTGGGGTTTAGGGGCTGCGGTTACCGCTGATGGTGTTGCCCCTCCTATTGCGATCAGCAGTCTTCTTGTCGTTGACTGACACAACTCTGATACAAACTTGTTGCTTCTCGTAGCTTGCTAGTCATGCTTGCTGGCTCTCTGGTGATCGTGCTGCTCATGGCGAGGGTCCTGATGCGAATGCGAATGAGTGCGGCGCGCATGCCTGCTTGAACCATGCTATCGAAGGCCCCCGCAATTTAAGGTCTATGGTCTAGTCCTTAAGTAACAGGTGTTGGGCTTTCTCAACCCTGGAACCCAAACCCTAAACCATCACTCCTAGCTCCCTTAGAACCCTAAACCCCATGCAGACCCTTCCAGAAAGAGAGCCCCTACTCTATGCTGTTCAGTAAAAGCCGCTGGGGGAAACAGTATATATGTGTGGGTGGTTAGTTTTTTCTGTAATAGGAACCCAGAAGAAAAAGTGCAAACAAACACGTATACCACTGAACAAACCCGCACGCCAAGAGAAATCTGTTTCAGAACCCCGCATCCATAAACCCTAAACCGTAGAACCCATGATGGAACCCACTACAAAACCCTTAATACCAGCGCTTATAGAATCCTTAACTAGTAGAACCAATAGCCAAGTTGCGATCCGGCCAGTGCACCCAGTGATCTCCTGGAGCCACCAACAACGCGTATCTGGCAGCAAAGAGGAACGGCAAAAAGGATTTAGACTGTCTTTGGGAGGGGGAGGTTAGGGTTTAGGGCTTAGGATTTTTTTCACAAAGGGTTTATAGGGTTTGATCGAATTTTTGCAGGGGCTTGCGGGGCTTCATGAGACTTTTGCAGGTGTTTTGAAGGGTGCCATGGGACTGCAAGTAGGGCGGTTCAGAGATTGAATTCCTGGGGCTGAACCCTAAAGCCTAAACCCTAAACCCTAAACCCTAAACCGTAACACTAGTCCAGCGACCCTGCGAACCCTTCACCTAGGACCACCCGGTTCTCATTACGGAATCCAATTTCAAGATTTCGGGTTTAAGGGGGTAAGGAATTCAGTTTAAGTTACGATAGTAAGGAAACGTCTAGTTTGCTGTGGATACCTATTGTGGTAACTGAAATAATTAAGTTCCTTAGCAAGAACCCAGACAAGCAACTGCAGAGTTGCCCCATCCGGTTGGATAATGCAGAAGCCGCCGATACGATTCCTTCTGGTTCCTGTAAGACGTCTCCTATACTGTGCCCAAAACCCCTAGTCCAATAGTGTTAAGGCCCCTATGTTACACTAAGTAGTGCTTTCAGCGTTTTAAAGTAGGGTTTAGGGCTTAGGGTTTAGGGTTTAGGTGGTTACCATAACTTTAACCCTGGTTACGAAGTCCCATGGGGTGGAGGTTTGGCTTTATCTGTAGACGTGCTGCAATCGGAAGGTCGCACGCTTCAGAAGTTCCTAGTCTTTGGGTCCACCACAAGTTTAGGGTTTAGGGTTTAGGATGTATGGTTTAGGGTTTAGGATTTAGTTCATATGTCTCTTCACTCCTGCCCTAAAACCTAAACTACGCACACCGCCATCATCTGTTTGGGAGGTCCTGTAGACACACGCACACAACTCCGGCATTAAGGATCTTCCGACCGTGGCGATAACAATGATAGGGCATGACGGTGATGGCCCGTATTAAGATGACAAAACTGGTGAAGATGAAGATAGTGATATCTGGGAAAACGATTGAAGAAAACACAGATGAGGCTTCAGCGACAGCTCTGACAACGACGGCGGTGATGACAGCGATCATGATGATGATGGTGGTGACATGATTATGATGATGATGATGATGGATGGATGATGATGATGATGGATGGATGATGATGAGGGATGATGATGATGATAATGATGATGATGGTGATGATGATGATGATGGCGATGATGATGCTGACGGTGGTGATGTCGATCGTCAGAATGATGATGAAAGCGACTAGTCGTATTCTCCCGGTTCCTGGAGCTGCTGCTGCTGCCGCTTTCTTTTGTTCCTGTACATGTGCTGGCTATAGTCCTCGTCAGTGTCGTCTTTGGCAGGTGCTGGTGATTGGGGTTGCAGACCACAGGGTCGTGATGGTGATGATGATTCTGCATGAGGATGACGATTATGATGCTGATGATGATGCGGGTTATGTTGGTGATGATGAGAACGATCATGCCGACCATTCAGAAGGTCATGGCAGTGTGATGAACCTGATCCTGGTGGTGAAGATGACGATGACGGTGATAGTGGTGACTGCGATGGAGACAGTGATAGCGATGCTCATGATGATGCTGATAATTGTCATGTCGGTGATGACTGTGGCGATGGTGGTAACTGCCGAGCGCAACAATGGGGACAATTATTCTAGTGCTCCTCCATGTTGCAATATGCTAGCTCTACATATTTCACAATCAAACGACATGCAGACCATCTTCGCGGCAGGAACCAGTTGATCCATATATGGCGGTGTATGAAACAAAGCCTGGGATCGGTGCATGCTTTTTCTAAGCGACTGCAGCACGCGATGCAGGCAACCTTTGGCTAATGAGATGAGTAAGTTGTCTCATCTCCGAAAACTGGCATCTTTGGCGTTGCTCGCAATGCTGACTGCTTTGCAGCCAGTTTCTGGGAAGAGATCCCAGCTGCCTAAATAGGAACATACTCCCAGTCCCAATCTCCAGGTCTGGCACCATCGTCATCGCGCCCTCCGTTTCCTCCACCACCGTTGCCTCCTCCACCGTTTCCTCCACCACCGTTGCCTCCTCCACCATTGCCTCCACCATTTCCGTCATCATCTCTTCCGCCGCCGCGACCATCGTCATCCCGTCGATGGTCATCATCTCCGCGACCGCCTCGTCGGTCATCGTCACCTCGACCACCGCGTCGGTCATCGTCACCCCGACCGCCGCGTCGGTCGTCATCACCCCGACCGCCGCGTCGGTCATCGTCACCTCGACCACCGCGTCGGTCATCGTCACCTCGACCACCGCGTCGGTCATCGCCACCTCGACCACCGCGTCGGTCATCG